GTTTAGGATGCCTCCTGGATGCCTCCCTGGTGAGGTGTTCCGGGGACGTCCAACCGGGGAGAGGCCCCGGGGAAGACCCAGGACATGCTGGAGAGACTATGTTTCTCAGCTGGCCTGGGAACGCCTTGGGGTTCCTCCTGAAGAGCTGGAAGAAGTGGCTGGGGAGAGGGAAGTCTGGGCCTCCCTTCTTAAGCTGCTGCCCCCGCGACCCGACCCCGGATAAGCGGAGGAAGATGGATGGATGGATGGATGTTTAGGGTTTCTTTACATAATTGAACCCCGTTGCACTGGTCATGGAGGAGGTCTTGTGATATTGGAAAATTGGAAAGTCGCCAGTATCTGTTAAAGTCTCTAGCAAAGCCAAATAGTGTATTTCTGAGTTTGCTGATTTTCTCACCATCTATCCTCTCTATCGCCAAACATAATATTGCTCAGTGATTTCAATGTTATAATTGTAATACAGTATAATACAATACCAATCTTTCTCTCACCAAAAACTTTATTTTCTGCCTTGAGAGTTTTGAATGTCAGCAACAGACACTATTCTCAAACACTCCAAAGGACATATTCTGGATTTCATTTGCTGCTCTGTCACCATTCCCCTTAACCTAACAGCTGATGACTGACCACTTTCTCTCATTCACCAGTGAGTCAGCCTAACTCTAAAACGCCATGCCTCATATCCTTAAGGGACATAAAGAACATCAGGCCCTCCACCCCCTCCTCAAGTATATACCCTTGCTAGCTCCTTGACTTCAATAATCTGTAAGCATGACCTGGTCTTTCACACTGGACTCCAAAATATCCTTGACTCTCTGGCTCCACTAAAAACAGATGTGTTTCTTTCTCCGCCTCCGTCCCTCCCTTAAACCACCCACTGCTGCCATCCTGGTCCACAGCCTTGTCACGTCCCGACTGGACTATTGTAACTCTCTCCTCTTTGGCCTTCCTCAAAAAAACTCTCCATAAACTACAACTGGTCCGGAACTCAGCTTACCACTTTATATCAAGAACTTCCTCTATCCACCACATCACCCGTTTATCTGACAGCTCCATTGGCTCCCTCTGCAGTTCTGGATTCATATAAAATTCTTATGGTGACATTTAAGGCCCTTATCACCTTACCCCCCATATCTGTCAGGCCTCCTACATGCCCCAAGTGATCGCACGCTTGTTTGGCATCTACTTTCTCAAGAATTTTAGATAAGAAAGGAAGATTGAGGAATATAGGTCTATAATTGACCAAGTCATCTGGGTCAAGAGACGGTTTCTTAAGCAGAGGTTTAATTCCAGCAACCTTAAAAGCCTTTGGTACATATCCCTGTAACAGAGATAGATTAATCACATCTACAATGGAGGAGTAGATCAAAGGGAATACCTCCTTAAATAACCTGCTTGGAACTGGATCTAACATCCAAGTTGAAGGCTTAGATGAAGACAATAATTTTGCTAACTCTGAAAGTTCAACTGGATCAAAGCAGTCTAAACCCGTTTCATGACAACCTCAGATACAATCGTGGATAGAGGAGTGCTAATGATCTTATTTTTAATAAGATCAATCTTATTTATAAAGAATACCATAAAATTATTACTTCTAAGAGCAGGTGGAATGGATGGTTCAACTAAGCTATGGCTCTGGTTGAGTTTGGCAACTGTATTAAAAAGAAATTATTATTCTTATTCTCCTCTATTAATGAGGAGAAATTTGCTGCTTTTGCTTTACAAAGGGTCCTCTTATACAGCAGTAAACTATTTTTCCAGATTAGGTAGGATTCCCGTAGGCCTGTGGAGCGATATTTTCTCTCCAGTTTCCTAGCATTTTGCTTCCAAGTGCACAGCTCTGCATTAAACCAAGGAGCCAGCTTTCTATTTTTAACAGTTTTCATTTTCAAAGGAGCTGCGTTGTCTAAGTAGTATGCAGAGAACTAGCAACCCCATCTACAAAATCATTAGGGGCATCAACTAAGCTTTTGCACTCTGCAGCACTGCTCAGCGACACAGAGGAGAGAGAAAGTGAAGCAGATTCTTTAAATTTTATAACTGCACTATCTGATAATGATCTACTAAAACCTTCATTTGGGGGA